GTGCTTCCAAAAAGGGGTACAACTTTATAGCTCAAATTTAAACGTTTGGATAATTATTTGAGAAGGACTTCTGTACAGTGGTTCCAAAGCTTAGCATTTAAACAGATATCTTAAATATAGGATGAAGATGTGAATTGTTATGTCATTTTAGTTCTCATTACTGTTAACGAAAATAGGTGGCTTAATGTTCAGTGCAGTACCATGTAATAGATGTGGTTTATGGAATGGGCTTATTTCACTGCGTAGGGTACCCTTGCAGATCAATCCCTGGCAAAAGGGCTTTCCTGCTGCAGAGGTGGTGATATACAGCCTGTATATAAGGAACTAACTAATCAGCAAGCTGAGGGAAAGCTCACCAAATTACAGAGCAATGTCCTCACTGACCCTACTTTTATGATGATAATATTGTGTGTGCTTTAAGACTGTAATTGTGATTCATGCTTTTGTTTCATTTTAGACCTGAATATGGATTATTATGGCTATGATCAAATGATATTGATCTAGGCCCTGTTGTATTTGTTAGCCCTTAGTTCTCAATAAACATGCACCAACTTGTGAAAGCCCTATGCAAACAAACTTTAATGGAAGAAAATAAGGAAGATGGAGTAGAACAGCAAAGACTAATAACGGAAGCACTATGAGTAGCTTCTGAGGCTTTTCTCTCATGCCAAAAGTTTACTAGGAGAGCAACATGTGCCAGTAGGAGTCACTCTAGGCTTCTTAATTGAAATATTCAATAAATTAACACAAAGTATCATTGCAACCAACGGTACTAATTTATTTTAATTTTAGATGACAATCCCTGTTTAAAGAACACCAGGGCAATACATTTCAGTTAAAAAAAAAAAACTGTGTCTGCAGCAATTGGTATTATTTTATTATTTACTGATGAAAATCAATATTCTGGTTATCAAAATTTCTGTTTTTGCTTTTCCTGGCAGATAGAATGTATTGCCACTAACTGGAAAACTGTTAATAATCTTGCAATATCTCTGTGGTTGAAGTATGTCATCTGGCCCTTATTAAAAAAATTAACATCACAAATTTGTGCTAATTATTTGGCATACAATAGAAATAGCTGTTTAGATGCTTGGTGTCTCTTTATAATGTATGTATCTGAGGATTCCGTTCCTCTATCATCCATACATACTAATTTGTGGAACAATGTGTTTTGAATATGGGGTAATTTCTGTATGTGTTTTTGTTTTCTACTTTTTCTTTGTGGTTGTTTGATTGTGTAATGTATAGTTTGGTTTTAATGCATTTTTTTAAAGAGTTAAAAAACAAACCAGGGTTTTTAAAATATAGACAGATTGTTTGTAGCTTATCCTTCATGTATTTCTGGACAATAAAGGATATTTTAAAAATAAATATCAAGTTTGAAAAGAATAATGTGTACAGTACTTGTTTCTCATAGACTGTAAAATCAGTTAGCTGGGCCAGCCTGGAATATTCCTGGTATATTGTCTGAGAACTACAGATAGATGTTTGTTTCAGTGATACACAGTTGACATAGCTTTAATGTAATTGTCAAAAATAGACTTAATGGCAAGTCTTAATCTGATCTACTGGTATTGTAGTTCATTTCTAAGGTTAACTACTTCGTATCAATACATTATTGAAAATGCTAACATGGGATTGCAATAATGAGACAATGAATTGTGCATGTGTGTATAATAAGTACTTAACACTTAACTACATTTATTTTTCCCTCTTATGTTGCCTGTTCATGCTTTCCTCTGCTTTGTGTCAAAGGACATCATAATACTCTTGAAATCATAAATGCATAAGGATTATTCTGAGAATTGCTTATACAGAAAAAATAGTTTAGTTCTGTTACATGTTGATCTAAAATATCATACTTTAATTTAGCAAAGTGTCTTCACAGTAACCTTGGGTTAATTGGTTATTATTTTCATTTAAAAGTTAGGGAAGTCTGTCCTGGGTGCAGAGTTGACCTGCAATTTGAACAGATTCCTAATGCCCCCCACTTCAGTATTTTGATCAACCCTTTCAGCTGTTTATTTATTTAATGCATTTACATCTTCCTCTCAAGAGCTCAGTGCAATCTTTAGGCATCAATACTTTCTGTTATTGTGTGATTTACTACTAAATATGTGCAACCTAAGGGTGTTACTCTTACAGCAATTTTGTGAGGAAGATCAGCTGCAGAGAATCTTATCTAAGCTTGCTAGCAAAATTCATAGCTGAACACTGATTGAAAATCTGTACTGGGTTTCCTCACTGAAGTCAAAGTAATAATAGAATCCCAGATTACCACAGGATATGGTTAGCACAGAAACTTCCTCAGAGTAATTTGCAAAATGTAAGACTGTATGCCAGTTCTAAATACAGTATAGTGTTTTGGTTATATAACATATTCTGATGAGTGATATCACTATATGGACAATAGTCCCTGTGGAAGCAACTTCTTATGGCTGGGCATAAGAAACAGCAGTTATCTCCACTGAACAGCTAGAAGACATTGAATTAAATTGTTCCATGCATGCTATTACTAGTAAATTATCATTCAGTGGCCATTTATTAGCTCTGTGCAGAACAACGGAAGAATAAATTTTATTTAATATAAATCCTTGGGTTAAGAAAACAACTACACAACTCTGTACTATACTTAAAGCTAATTTATAGTTCTTCATCAGAGAGGTTTTGTTGGTCCTGGAACATTTTTCACAGACAAATTTGGAAATCTGTCCTTGTGACAACATACATCTACTTACAGATGTTTTTTTAAGATTATTTCATGCCTATCTCTTATGTTATGATACCATGAGTACATCTACAGGTAAATATAGATAAATTATAATGACGATGTGTCATCAGGTTGAACTCAACTTATGGTGACTCTTTCCAGGGTTTCTGAGGTAGAGAAAACAAAGAAGTAGTTTATCATTCCCTTTTCCCGAGGCATGTGTGCAACATGCTCGTGGCTACACATGCTGACTCTTTTCCCTAGAAGCACAGTGGGGAATTGAACTCCTCATCTCTGGCTCTGCTACCTGAACCACTGAGCAATGTAGCCAGCTGCAGAGAGATAGACATACATGCAAATAACATATAGGCAGATAAACCAGCAAGCCCAAGCACTCAATGTAATTTTTCTGCATTTGCCCTCCAATGTTTATAATAAACTACACACAGCAGTATGTTTCAAAAGTTGCTTTTTTACTGTCAACAAATGAAGGAATTTTTTAAAAAGTGCTTTATTTAGAAATTTACTGTAAATGAAAGTTTTCAAATGGAATTTTCTACTAAAAGGGGGTTCACTGGAAGTACAGACCTGATGGAACAAATTATATAAGGCCTATGGTTTAAAAGGTTTGTGGGAGGAAACAATATACATAATTCTGCCCAGACAGGCCTTGGTAGCCAGATGGGCAGTATAGAAATCCAATAAATGAATATGGCTGCTAAGGCTTTCTACCCAGAATCCTCCAGGTCACTGTATGGGATTCTGGGGCTCATTCCTGTGTAAGGCACCAAACATATGGGCTCCTGAAAACAATTATTCCGCTTTCAGGTTGAAGGGCAACCCTTCCACTACGTCGCAGTGCTTCTTTTCCAAGTGGTTATTATTGTATGCCAGGGCTTCAATCCGCTTAGCTGACAGCCATGTCCTTTGTCCTGGAAGCCCTTTGCCCAGGCCCCGATGAGTTCAAGATGATGCCTGCGCCGGTCCATCTGTACTTAATAGCGAGGGAAGGATACTCTTTTACCAGCTTCCCCCTCACGTTCACCCTTTGTCAACGTTACCAAAAAAAGATGTGGGCATTGAAGGCCACCTCAGTGCCAGGAAAGCTGCTTTATTATTATTATTATTATTATTATTATTATTATTATCGTTTGGGGGGGTAGCAATCAAAAGACCACTTGGTTGTCTTAAAATGTTAATTTAAGCTTTTCTAGAAAGCCTCTGATTCACCCGAACAGTTTGCAACAGACAGTCGCTCCTCCACTGAAACAGAAATGCTAATCCAAACCAGCAAACAGGCCTGGCTTCTCTGAAGGAAACCTGAGACGGCTTTGTGCATCCGTTCGACGTTTGGCAGGGAAAAAGCAGCGGCGTGCCCAGGCCGGCCGAGACAACTCCTGTTTCTTTCCCCGGGTCGCACCACCACACCGCACACAACAAGGCGCCTCTTAGCCCGAAATGGGCTGAAGGCCCGTTCTTCACGCACCCGCATACACCTCACATACACACACCCCTTTCACATGCAAAAGCAGCCACGACCTTCCGCGGCCCCCCTCCTTCCCTCCCGCCGCCCTGACGGTCTCCACACTGAGCCGGTGCAGAGTCGGTCCCGCACGACGCCCAACCCCGGCAGCTGCCGATTGCTTGGAAATGCCTCTTTCGCCGTGCAATGGGCAATCACGCCGCCGCAAGAGTCCCGCCTGGACTCAGCCCCGCCGTTCGGTGCCTCTTCGTTCGTTCGTTCATTAATTAATTACTTAGTGGGGAAAAAAAAGCGGTGGTGTGTGTGTGAGACTTGGATGGGGGGCGGGGCGGGGACGAAAGACCGGCTGAGAAAATAAACCAGGAAGTGACAACCCGATTTCCTCTCCCTGGGAGGAGCGGCCCATTCGGAGCGGTTTCAATAGGGGGAAGCGCGGGCCCGTCTTGGGATGAGGTTAAGGTTCAGACTTCACCCAGCGACACGCGTCATGCTCGATAAGCCGGCGGGTCTCGGCTTTGTTTCTCCCTCCCCCCCAGGCGCAAGAGCTCTTGCTCGGGGTGGCGTTTTCGTGGCCCCATGCCGACTTTTCGTGGCCAAGTCCCTCCCCGCTCTTTCCCGTTTCTGTTGCATTGGTCTCGTCCGGCGGTGAGGGGGGGGGAGCAGATATTGTTACAATGTGTAGAAGAGGAGAGCTCAGACACTTCCAGTCCCCTCTTGGACCCGGAGAGAGGAGGAGCAGAAGCTACCTCTATGGCTTGAGGTGCAAGCGGTTTATTATCTGGTATTCCCACCCCCCTCCCCCACCGCGTGCCTTTGTGGGTTTTATTTTGGGGAGGGGAACCTGTAGTTTGGGTTTGGCATTGTGATCTATACCTGAAAAGGAGATTGGGAAGATGATGAGAGCAATCAGAGGTGGAGAAGCGAGCCGTGTGAGACGACGGGGGAAAAAAATTTAGTATTCATTTACTAAGGCTTCCAACTTCATCATACCGGGTTGTCATTACCGGATAAAGAAGATACTTTCGGCTGAAGGAAGATGACAACTGTTGGGGGTTGGGCTGGTAATTTCTTGAAAAGTTTTAAGGATTATCCTTTTATTTATTGAACTTTGCGTGTAACTGGATAGCTGGGCACAGAGCAGCGAATGACTGGCCGCTTTGATTGATTGATCTGAGAACCATGCACTAGCTATAGCTGCTGCTTCCCAGCGTGCTAAAGAGTTTTATTCTCCTCCTCCCCCTCCCCCATCAGAGCTGTTACTTTTTTTTTAAAAAAAGCAGGATAATAATAGTTTCTTGTATGCTTCGCATTTGCACATGGCAGTAGGATCTGTCCCTGAAAGGGCTCTTGCAAAGTCACATTTTTCCTACGCGTCATTGATTTGCTAGCTGTATGAGAATTCATTGCCCAGGCTTCATTTTTTTTTGCCTTCCCTGTTAAAATAACGAAATCAGACTGAACAGAAACAATCTGGCATTGCTTTATTGTTGTTTCGCAGCTATGTTCCTAGCAGCATGTTTATATCTATCCATCCTGCTGACTCTTGCAGATTGCATTTTAATTGAACTGTATTTTTGCTCCCCCCCCCTTTTGTGGTAATCTTTAAGTATTGTACAGTATATCTTAGTGTGTGTGGTTTGCATATTATAGTTGGTGAATCTTATGCGAAAGTCTTCCTCCCCAGCACAATGTGTTGGACCCAAAGGGGTGATACTTACAGCAGAGCCATGAAAATCAATGGGACTTTAAAATGCGAAGAGTCTTGTGGCATTTTGATGATTCATAGGCTTTCAGAAATCGTAGCTGATTTCATTAGATGCATGATATGTAGCCTCAGTTGACAGAGATTGATGCACGTGCTGGGAGGGGGAATGCAAAACTAAAAAGTGCCAACATCATGATAATCTTAATGATTTCATTAAGTCTATAATTCTGTCTGGATCTAACCCAGTGTCACTGACACTAGCATTTCCAGGTGTGTCAGATATATGTTTGCATGTATTCAGATAGCTTGCATTTCCATTAAACTTGTTTGCAGTGAATCAGGTCTTAATTTATTTTTGTGGGGAGGCTGTAGTACTGTATGTTTAATAATTCTAAATGGATAGACAGGGTCATTTTTATATCTCAGCTAATAGTACAGTAACTTAATACTCAATTATGTATCCTGGTTTACAAGAATTTTTTTTAAAAAAGCCCAATTACAGTACTGAAATAGATATAACAGTATTAATTGGTCCCAGTGCTAATAGAGCATAATACATAAATAAAATGTTACATAAACATTAGTGAAAATAATAGCTTGTCTTGTAAGATCATTACGTTTGTTTGTTTTTTGCTTGTACTGTGGCTTAATCATGCATGTTCTCTGAAGCAATGTAGTCCAGGCTGGGTTTTGATTAGGTGGGTTAACAGTTGCAGACATTTAGCTGTGAAAATAAAGCTGAGGAAGCTGTAAAATTTAGATCAGACACCTTATTTGTTCCACAGTCCTCCTTTTTGGATCAAGGGAATAAGTGCCATTGGTTGTGATGATATAGAGGTATGCTCTCATCTGTATTCATGTATGATTCTTGACTTCTAACTCTGTCCTGTGCTTAGTAAACCAAAGTACTGTAGTACATAATTTCATTGTATGAAAACACACAGAGCAAACCAAGGAAGGAATATAATGGAAGAAGAGACATAGAACCAGAGAGTGGTGCTAATTGCATGCTTGCGTGCATGCTTGTTGGAGGATTAGGCCATAGCCCAAGTCGTTTTCAATATAAAGGACATCTTGTTTTTGGCTGTATTGATTAACACTAAACCATATTTTCTAACTGGGTTAGCTAAATCTACCTGCTTATCAAGCAACTTTGTGGTTAGTGGACTGTGATTTCTTAAGATCCTTTCTTGCTTTTGAGATTGTGGGAGGATAAAGCAGCAAGTCCTCTCAAGTAAGAAAATTTCTTGTTTCCACAAGCACAGCTCAGATAAAGTAAGCTATTGCTACAATCATACTTGCAATTACTAGGGAATGAGGTCTCTGCTGAGGTCTAAATAAACATTGGACTGTGGGATAGTAAAAGAATATCTTTATTGAGAGCAATCTGTATTCACAAATGGTACTATTAGAGCATTAGAGGATGACAGAACCCTTTATCGGGCTGGATATTTGAAAGAAAAATGCTAAAGGAAAAAGTATATGTAGGTTGTGGAATTGGCCTCAGAATTTTAAACGGAAATAAATGAACATTTATACCCAAGACTAGCACATTTCTTGTGGGAAAGTCTGTTGTGTTAATGTATGTGTTAATCACCACATTAATGCTCCTCCATCAGTAAAAATACTGATTTGTCACAGTTTAAGTAAGGAAGAGAAAACCAGCAACCAGCATGGGTGCCAGTCAGGATTCAAATGCATTCTGGATGATCCTTTTAGGATTGCAACCTAAACAGTCTCACTAGATATTAAACACCATTTGAACTCAGTGGAATTTCCTTCCAAGCAATGTGTTAAACCAAGTGCTAATTCTTTTGAACAAACCTGGGTTGAAGATCTGTGTTGAAATCTTTTTTTTTTCAGCAAAGCCAAATTTGCCAACGGAGTGTCTGGATGAGTCACTGTTGTTATATCTCAGTCAAATCTATTTGCAGGTTGGTGGTTATGGCCTGTCGTGGCAGAATAGCAAAAATTTAAAGATGTCACAACAAAATCTGTATTTTGGAGCCAAGCATAAAAGAATTTTAAAAAACAGTTTAGCAAAGACTGGTGCACTGCATATAGTTATAGTCTCTTGAGATGATTAGTCAAATGCAGGATTCATTCTTGATTAGTGAAGCATTGGATGAACATTTCAATGAAATGTGAAGACTATTGTATTGTATGCCTGAGGAATATTGGAAATATGTTTGGTATGGCCTAAGATTTTATCAATCCACTCTTTCTTGTAAAGGGAGCCCAAGATAGGTTGCTGCCTTATGTGGAATAGACTGTGTAATCCTATGTCTGATTCTGGGCAGGGTGCACAATATTCAAAGATTTTGGCACCTGGGCCAGAAAATCCCACAATTTCCTCTCTTTGTGTCTAACAGTAAAAATGCAATAATAAAAAACAAACTGTCTGTGTCATCTTAAAACACATAAAATCTGCTGCTAGCCATCTGTCTCTGTCAATTAAAAAAATTATCTTCACTTGTTGGCAGTTTTTTCTTCATAATGAAGGTGTTTATGTGGAAGTTCCCTCACCCCTTAATTATAGATTAACAATATTCCTGAATTTGGCTATTTAATGAAACTGTTGGGCTTAAACCCCATGGTTAGAATGAAATAGAGGGAAATAGATTCAGCTAGGATCAGTTGGAAGGTTTATAGCAATCAACTGAGAAATGTACAAAATGGTCTTATTTATTAATGTGGTACACTTTGTCTGGGTCCAGGTTTCAGTTGAATAGCTCAAAAAGCCCGTATATAGATCAGGATTCAACAGTGTGTGAGAGCCAGTGTGGTGTAAATAGAGTGATGGACTGGGACTCACAAGACCTGGGTTCAAATCCTCCCCTTAGCCATGGAAACTCGTTTGTGTGTTGCAGGGGTCAAGCCACTCTTTAAACATCTCAGATTAAGACTGTAGGAGTGTTGCCATAAGTGTGTGAGGCTTGCAACAACAGTATAATTCTGCTGCTTTCACAGCAGAATTGGAAGGGCTGATCCCCTTCTTCAGCCTTCAGTGCAGCCTAAAAAACTCATGTAGAAAGCTAGACCACTTTGTGGAGCAGTTTTTTGTTCACATGCAGGGCTTTACGGGAAGCTGAAAAAGGTCCCAGATTTGCTGGTGGAAGTACAGTAGTTAGATCCTGTAGAAGAATTCTTCTTAGCTATAATGATTTCTCCCTTATTAAAACAACATGAAATCATCAAAGCTTGCAATGCCAGGTTGTTAATCCCCCTTTTTTAATGCAGATCATTTCTAGAAGCCTTTGGTCACTTTGATTTGGCTTGGATGTGGACCTATCTGCATAGATATCAATGTAGACAAGTTATTTTTAAAATGAGACACAATTTATTGTGTAATATGTTGATAAAAGGGTCTCCTGCTGTAGATTCAACCCAGATGTTAATGTTTTTCCTCTAAATGCTGAAACAGTACTGGGAGTGTATCTCACTAGGTTAAAAGTGACATTAAAGCTGCACAAGTAGGACCGGCTTGCAGTAATTGGGATCTTAGAAATCCTCAGTTCCCCCCTTGTGTAGCTGTATATGTGTCCCTGTTCTCGCCTTACCACAGTGCTGAATTCCACCGAGCTCTTGAGCACTTGATTTTCATGTCTCTCCCTTTAAAGAATTGTTTGCTTTGTGGTGATAATATGCATGGTGTCAGCATGGTCTGGCCTACTTGTTTCTGCCAGATGCTTTCAACGTTATCAGTTTTGATATTTAAGATGTGAGTGTGTGGAAAGAAAATACTTCTGCACCAGCTTTCAACAAATATAACCCACATTTGGTAAATTCCTGTGCTGTGAGAGCAGCCACTTCACTAGAGGAACTACCCAAGTTGAATCAAGTGGGCACACTTTTAAATCAAGTGTGGGTCAAATACAGATGCCATAAATTGGTGAAGCTTGGATGTCCATGCGGGGAAAAATATGGCTCATCTCTCCAGGAGCACCTGGGCCATTCAGCTCTTATAAAATGCTATTTAACTTTGCCTATTTTTCAGGATGTTTGGCAGTACTGATGTATTAAGGTATTTGTGTATATGCTTTTGTTAGAGAAGCCCCTCCTAAATAGTTTTTTAAATTATAGGATTGCTTGGTCTAATTTACTAGCAACAGTTGTGCTGCTGTAACAAAAGATCTGCCTGAGCTCAACAGACTTTGATGAATCATGGCCATGATATTTGCTAACGAAGCCTATGGCTATTTTCTGTCAAAGTGTTTTGGCTTCAGCCCCAAAGTCCCACTTACGACAGACCACCAAAAATTTCCCATGTAAGACATGGTGTGATGGGTACATGATGCAAAGTTAAGGAGTTAAGAGCAAGACAGAATTCGGCTACCATTTCAAATGATATGCGAGTTATGTGAATTAGCTCCATTGTGTACTGTAATGTGGCAGTCAACTGGCAAAGTGTCACATATTGGATCAAGTAGACAAAGAAGGAAGATCACTTAAAAGCACTTGAGCCATTATTTAAGCTCTTGTCTTGTGGAACCTGGTCTAACTGTCTGGCAGGAAGCTTGTAGCACTGGTGGTTCAGGCAATAACAGGATGAAGGGTCGCTCCTGTGGACCACTTTTTTGAGAACCCCCTTGGTGCCCTTATGAAAACGCAACTTCTTGTATTACCAAGAAAGTTTTAATGAGCAACAGCTTTGTTCTTTAAAAAAAGACTTCATTGCCTTTTCTGAATTCCTGTCATAAGAGGTTTTGCTGGCTAACATTTTGAATGGCTTGAAAAAGTAATTGAAGGAACTTATGAAAGATGAAGCTATCGGTGGTTACTAGTCATGATGGATATACAGTATACTCTTTCCAGAGCCAAAGTGTCTGCTGGTAGGGAAAACGAGGTGCTAGAGAGCATGAGGGTATAGATCCACTCACGTGCAGCTGGTGAGCAGACTTCCCATAGGCAACTGCTGGGCCACTAGGATGTTGGACTAGAAAAGCCTTTGGTCTTGTCCTTTTCTTACTTTTTTATTTAATTTGTATACCTGTTCATTAGTGGAAAGCACTACAGTGGGGTCTTGACTTGAGAACTTAATCCGTATTGGAAGGCGGTTCTCAAGTCAAAAAGTCTGTAGGTCAAGTCTCCATTGACCTACAGTGCATTGAAAACCGATTAATCTTGTAACGGGCCGTTTTTGTTCCATTTTGGGTTTTTTTCTGGTCTGTAAGTCAATTCTCAGGCTGCAAGTCAAACCTAAATTTTGCGGCCAGAGCAGTCTGTAACTCAAAAAGTCTGTAAGTCAAGCCGTCTGTAAGTCAAGGGTCCACTGTATTCTATGTGATTTGCAACATGATAAATAAAACACAACAAAACCATAAAGTAGTAAATAAAACTGATTGGACAGTAAAACAAAAAAATGCAATATCCAAATATTTATTTATTATTTATTTTATTTATATCCCGCCTATCTGGTCAGTTAATAGAAGGCATAGCATGAGGCATCATATCAGGCAGGGCTGCATTGGAAGGGCTCTGAAAAGGAAAATTTTCAGAAGGCTTCTAAATGTTGGGAGGCAGGGCACGTCCTTAACCCCCATGATTAGTTCCACTAGGAACAAGGCTAGGGCTGGTTTTCCTGTCATAATGATCTGTGTTAAATTATGGAGCCAATATTCACCTGTCTTAGCTATTTTAAGATAATTGTTTAAATTAGGGAAGATGGGGACTGGCATGAAGCTGTATTGAGGACTGACAAAATATAGCATCTTAACTGGAGCCACCACTTTCTTATACTTCTGGAACTAAAGAAAATACTGTAATAGAAATCCCTCCATAATCATGTGTCTTTATTGAAGCAAGGGGTAGGGAAGAAAGGACACACATTTTCTAAGTCACTGTTGGCAAAACAGACAGATGCTTGATTGGGAAATATTCAGTGTGTATATATGAAAATGATCCAGCAGTCCTAGTTTCGTAGTTCTTAAGTTAATTTTCAATACAGCTTTGAATACATTTTGAATATTGTGTGAGGAAGAAACCACCTTATTATATGACAGGGTGACACAAGGTACCTTAAGTTGCAGATTTGGTGGTGCTGTTCAAATAACTGCTCTGGGGTTCCAATTTTCTGCATCAGATGTTACAGTGTTTTGGGATAATTCAGTGGCTCCCAACTATTGTTCCCCAGATGTTCTTCGACTATAACTCCCAGAAATCCTGGCCAGTATAGCTAGTAGTGAAGGCTTCTGGGAGTTGCAGTCTGAGAACATCTGTGAGGTTGATAACCACTGGGTTAATTGTAAAGTAGAGTAATTTTATTTTCTTTCTATGTTTTTTGCAAATCTTTTGCTGTCATTTCTCTTTAATATTACATGGGCAGGTAACCTTAGTTATCCAGTTCATGAATGGTCTTATGTAATGCACAGTTGATTTTTAGAATTTTGGTTTGTAAGGTGTTAAGAGCAAGACAAAGTCCTAAGCTATAATTTCACATAATATGTGAGTTATATGAATTACCTTAATATATGCAGGTGATTCTTTTCTCACTTTTAATGTTTGAATCTAGCCTAATATTTCAAACAATGTTTTTGCTCAGCAATTCCCGCCCTTGATATGATGAAGATGCAGCACTGCAGAAATTGCATCAACCAATATGTGAGAATGTTATCTTGTTTATATAAGTCATAGGTAAAATGCGTTTAGCCAAGCTGATTGACAAAATCGATAAAACAGTCTATTTTTTCATGTTAATGGTAATCTTTCCTATTGTAGTATGTTCTTATATAAGTTTTATTGGATTTCTCTTCCCAGGTAAGGAGAGGACTTCGGCAGCTGCCATCTCTGCTGGCTGAGGAAACAAAGGATATCTCTGAAAAACCTTGGAGATCTGAGCATTTAAAGGTAATGTAGTTTTCACAGCATGGCATTGAGTGTCATATGTGTCTATTTGTGCAATTGGCCTTTCACCTGCAAAACAGTGGAGGACTGATTTTTCCCTTCTTGAAAGTGAGTTTTAAATAGTAAGTTTCAGTATTGCTACTAATAAGCTTATTTTTCAATGATTAATATTTCTGGAGCTGGTGTGGTATAGTGAACAGGGACTTAAGAGAACTAGGTTTTAATTCCCAGTGAACCATGAAATGCTCAAGGATTGTGAGGATAAACCAAAAAGTGAACATAGATACTCATTTGGATGCATAGTATAGAAAATATTCAGGTTATGATATATTTTATCAGTTCATAATGTCAGAGTCACATGGACTCAGCAGGGCTCCAAGAAAAATCTCTCTTCACACTTTAAAAAACTTCTCAGCCTAAACTGTATACTCTCTTAGTATGGCTGGTCTGCCAGCCATAAACACCATGGCTAAATTCCATAAAAGAAGGGAATTATTTAACTTAGCTAAAGCCAGCTGTCACATAGTACGTCTAACAGTCTGAAAGCAAAAACCACAACCAAGGTTCTCCTGTACGTTTTTCTCTCTCTTTCTCTCTCTTTCCCTTTGGGGTAGACTATATACTCAGCATATTTTGCAATTTGCTTCTCCAATTATTAACTCTCAGTTTCAGTAAAATAAAGTCAAATGTTAGAATTGGATGTGGCCCAGCTTAATCCAAGAATCCTGGTTCTATCTAGTACTGTGCATTTTTTTTGGTGTAAGTTATGTATCCTGTTTGGATTTAGTAAGTGTCACTTCTTTCCCTTAAAACATTTTGGAGAATGCATGTTGATTATGAGGCAGACTTTGGAACTCTCTGTTTAGAATTTTTAGGTGAACTGACTGAAAAAAATTTGATCTGTTGATGGCTGCCAGGAATATAAAAACATATTGGCTGAAATTCAGTAGTGCAGCATACACTGCATAAGGTTGATGACATCATCAGCTATGGGAATTTTTTGGGGAATTAGAAATTACTGCTGGAGAAATCATCTTGTAGGTGTTAATTATTGGAAATTGAAGATTTCCCTTCTGTCTCACAGCCTCCGATGGCTTTCTCATGACAAAAGGGATCCCAAGGGAGCTTTGGGACTTTCAGGAAGAAATCAGAAATTTTTAATGTCTGAAAAATTGCAGTGACTGATGACATCATCAGCCTTATATGGAACAAAGTACTCCACTGGGCTTCAGCCATCATCAACTTGCTGAAAGTTGCAACAATTCAATTAAAAAAGAAAAAAGTTCTGTTTTCTTTGGGATAGAAGCAGAAAGCTTCTCTTCTTTCTTCTTGATATCCATGATAATTGTTTTCATCGGTGTGTTGCCTATGAGAACCAAGCAGATATGAAGAAAGCATATTGTGTGCTTAGCTGAGCTGTAATGAACAAACACCTGTGAATATTTAAAATTTTAATTTTTGTCGGAAAAAGACGCATCATGTAGATTTTTAATAAGCGGCACTGTAACATTAAAACAAGGGAGAAGAATTCTGTTGTTAAAACTGATATATTGTGGAAATTAATGAGAAGAATGGCAGACTGTCACACTGCTAAGATCACATTATGTACATAAACCCCATGAAATAGTCCTCATTTGGCATAAATATGCATACTATTGGGCTCCCAATCATAGAATTACAGTATTATAGAATTGTCGAATAATTGAGTTGGAAGGGGCCTATAAGGCCATTGAGTCCAACCTTCCTGCTTAGTGCAGGAATCCAGTCATGCTGTCCAAGAAGACAAATATGCAATAAGTAGTAGAGATTTTATCCAGACTACCTGAGTAGGCCTCAGATATTAATCAGCATCAGAGGTATTTGGTTTTGTTCCTCAGCTGAGCATGGTTTCTATCAGTTGTAACTGTCTCTCTCTGGAGTTCTATCAGATGATCTATACTTCACTTTTGTTTCCGTGCATTCTGTTAGTAGATAATGGGTTATATTTTGTTTTAATTTGAAAGCATTCATAGACTATTGCCGAGCTTTGAGTCATGTTAAGTCTACAGTGTTGACAAATTTTCTTTTTCCATTGCTTTGCTTTGGGTGCTCTAGTTTATTCAAAAGGATAAACAATAAAAAATGTGTGCACATGTGAATAAACATGTGTTGCCAGTAAGGGATATTTGGAAAATACATTCAGAAATTTTATTTTTTAGTGAAGGTGAGGTCTATATATGAGATATAAAAACTGAACAAAATGCATTGACTTTTACAGAAAGAAGCAACAGATATACAGTATGTATAAAGTTACCTTTTAGCCCCCCCCCAAAAAAAAGATCAGATCAATCTTCTGAAGCTGAAGGATCCTACCTGAACATGAAATTAGTGGAACTAAAATGGAAGTACATAAGCCTTGCCTTGAAAACATGGAATAAAAATATCCCAAGTACTAGAAACAGGTAACCCACAGGCTTACTGTTATTGGCAAAGAAAACCATAAGGCGGGTGTTTACAGTGCAAGACAATGCGGTTTGCTCACAAAGCTGATAGGGGTTTACTACTTAATAAGCATAAAGTCATTGTGATGTAGTGAGTAGAGTAGTGTGCTTACAACTCTGGAGACCTTTTTCAAATCCCTGCACAGCCATGGAAACTCACTGTGGGGTAGCAATGGTAAAAGCACTCCTTAAATGTCTCACAAACATTGAAAGCTGTTAGGGCTTCTATAACCGTGACTCTGAGCTCCCTTCCAGTTGCTCCAGAGCTTGTGGCCGACTAGCCACTCCTGGCAGAGGGAGGGAAGACGAGCCTTCCCTCCAGGCTGACTAGTGGCTAGTCGACCGCGAGCTCTGGAGTGATTGGAAGAGAGCGTGGAGTGTGGGGCCGGACCCTCATTATGTCCACCTCACCATCTCTATTGGAAACCATAACTGTAGGGTATATCAAAAAAGTTGACTGTTTAGGAAAAAAGCTTTAAAAAGCTTTCCTTTGTGATAAATAGGCCATGATCCTAAGCATCCATACTTGGAAATGTCTCACAAACATTGAAAGCTGTTAGGGCTTCTATAACCGTGACTCTGAGCTCCCTTCCAGTTGCTCCAGAGCTTGTGGCCGACTAGCCACTCCTGGCAGAGGGAGGGAAGACGAGCCTTCCCTCCAGGCTGACTAGTGGCTAGTCAACCGTGAGCTCTGGAGTGATTGGAAGGGAGTGTGGAGTGTGGGGCTGTACCCTCATTGTGTCCACCTCACCATCTCTATTGGAAACCATAACTGTAGGGTATATCAGAAAAGTTGACTGTTTGTTTAGGAAAAAAAAGCTTAAAAAAGCTTTCCTTTGTGACAAACAGACCATGATCCTAAGCATCCATACTTGGAAATCAGTAAGAGATAATGAAAATCAGATAATGGAGTAATCAAAGTACTTAACAGTACAGTATTTTTTGCAGAGAGAATAAAGAACATAAAAGTAGCAGTGCTGTCTCAAAGATCCATTAATCCAGAATTCTGTTCCCATAATGGTCAGTTGTGGTTTTATTCAACCAGAATGTAAGTATAGCACTGTCTTTTCTGCTTGTGTTCCCTAGCAACTGGTACTTAGAGGTGGACTGTCTGTGTTCCTGGAGGTAATATATAGCCATCATGCCAATATCCATTTGTTAGCATCATTCTTCATCCTTGTTTGATCCCTGTTTGAAGTTTTCCAAGCTGATCACCTCCCCTGTATCTCTAACAGAAAATTCATCTGAAGAAGTGGGCTATAGTCCACGAAAAGCTATGTCAAATAAAACATGTTAGTCTTTAAGGTAAATCAAAACTTCTGATTTTTGCTGAAACAGATGAATACAGCTGTGAATACAGCTTCCCACCCTCCAGCAGGCTTGTAGATCAGTTATGTGCTGTGTGGAGGTGTACACCTTTTAATCTATCTAGAGTCATGTCTTAGTTTTAGAGGAGGATGTTGGAAGATAAGCAACCATGGAAAATAAACACAGTGGCCTTGAACAGCATTTAATGACTGAGTTGGCACAAATCATCTGGTCAGCCTTCCACACAATAGTGCAATAATTGTGCTTCTGTTCAGTTTACAGTAACTTCCAAATGTGTGTCTTTACACTCTTTTGTGCAAATGTGCATAAATCAACATATATAAATTACACACCCCCAGTTCAGATTCTGATAATGGTTTCTAAGGAGAGTGGAGTCAGCACAGTAACTCATCCATGAGGGCGTTCTTGGTTTTGGAAGGTTTTCTTCTTCTTCTTCTGAGGTGCTTCTAAAGCACTTCTGGTTATCCTTTACTGCTTGGAACACAGGAAACCTTTAAAACATTGTCTCAGTGTCTATATGCTGCACACAGAATGGCACAGGAAGTAAGTTTTGAGTTTGTGCATGTCCAGCTTGCTTCGTTTAGAATACTAAAGATGACTGAAAACAGGAGGACATCCTGTGTTCTCGATTTTGAAAACAACAATAACGAAAAAACCCAAACCTGGACTGATGGTATGCCAAAATGTACATGCCTTATTATACATCTGCACACCACGATAGTGTGTGATCCATTTCAAAGACACCAGAAATGTAGATGTTCGTGATGGTGTACTTGAGAAGATTTGGCATCTTGCTTGAGAAATACTCATGCCTTGAGATCTCGTATGCTAAAAAAGTGAGCAATCATCCTTTAGTGTAATACTTCTGTGAACCTAAGATGCTTGCCTTATGCAGAACCATTCATAGATGGGAAGGGAAAGGGTTTCTTGCAGATGAGCATTTCCTTTCAACAGTTCTCTATCGAAATCTCTCTTGTGTAAGTATTCCATTTATTCATATGAAATGGCTTTAGGTTATCTGTCTTTTGAGTCAAGTCTTCACCAGTTTCTGTACCTTGTAAGTGGGTCACTTATGTTAGGAAGTATAATTTTCTACAGATTAAGGTTTCAAATTGGTTTATTTAAACTCGTATGTGTCTGACCAAAGGGCAATATTACAGAGTGGTATAGTTATGGCAGGTAAAGTCGTGGCAC